AGCACTTTGGCGACAGTGGGAAGGAAAAACTCCCTTTTAACAGGAAGAAACCTCCGACAGAACCAGGCTCAGGGAGGGGCGGGGCCAAAATCATGCTGAATCTAAGGCAAATAAAGTGAATGGACACACATGAAGTTCCAGGATGCAATCAACTCACAGCAAATGAAAATGCCACTGATCCCACTCCCCTCTGGAAGGTCCCCGGTCCGATCTGCTGCAGGGTGACCAGCGTGGTGGAGTCCCAAATATAAACACACAGCTGCAGAGGCTGCCGCAGACACAGAAACATCACTTACTCGTTTGTTGCCACTCGCTGCAAAGTTAACCAAGCTGAATGTTTCCGCACATCTCAATTCCTGATATCATTTAAAAGTTCGATCATCTTTTAACTTGTGACGCTCAAACTATGGATGCAAACTGTGTTATTTTAAGGGCAGCAATAGTCACCTTGCCATCTTTATCCACCCCTGCTGTCTGGCCAGATGCCACTCGCACTTTGTCAGGATGGAGTGTGAGACTGCAGAGAAAGACATTTTCTGTGTAAAGCTTTGGCAAGTTTGCTGCACAGAAACATGAGGGTGGTGGGTTGCATCCATCATGGCAAAATGACAAACATGTGCGTACGGTCAAATAAACAGTGCCGTCTGTGTTTGGTCACAGAGGTTTATTTGGCTGCAGCACGATGAGAATGACTCAAAGGTTAAATGCTGTCTTTTTGGCACAAATAGCATCCAGTGAACAACTTTAGCCTGTCTATACTCTGTTTTTGAAGAGAAGCTCTCCTGATATTTAGACTGTAGTATTGATATCTTAACCTTGTCAAGAAACAGACATTTGCAGCTGTGAACAGTTTTAATGGAAAATAGCTGATACAATCTTCAAATATGATGCATGGATGCACAATTTGAACATGGACTTTGTGGCAAAAGACAAATGAAACATTTTTGTCACATGGACCTACATGATACTTGCAGACCCTTCGGCTACTGTTTCTGCCAGCTGGTCTCTGCTTCACATGCTACCATACTTGTTTCCCATTTTAACTTGGCTCTTAAAAGAAATCTCAAAATCACATATTTTGGTGCAGTGTTGTGGCTGGATAGGTCAGCTGCCATGCAGTAACACGCCAGCACGCTTATCCCCTCCAAAATCTGCAGCGCAAATACTTTGACTCAAGTGATAATCCAAGGAATGGAGTTGAGTTCAGAAGCAGGTTAAAGCAGACAGTAGCTTCCCTCTTGTTCCCGATACACACAAGTGTTTTTCTGTTACCAGGTCACGCAGACCTCTGTCCACAAATATCTGCAATCAGTCTAGTCTCGCACTAATCAAAACAGTCA